CGATTTAATATGATGGCCCTACTTTCACATGTCGGTCGCTTATACTCTACGATGTGTCGTGATATTTCTTCTTTTTGTTCTCCGTGATCACCAAAAAAGATGAAATGTCGAATGTCCAGCAATGACGATCGAATAAATGGGAAATTTCGCTGAATGAGAGTAGATTACTTAGTTTTTCGATGATTATCACTTATGTCGTGGAGGTATTTCTGCTTAGGAAACATAATTGAACATTTCAAAAACTACACCTCACGATTTGATCCAAGATTCATATATTCAATCATATATCACATTTTTGTGGAATAATTTATGAAAAATGTTTTCCTTCCGGTAGCAGTGAAGAGTAGACGATGTGACTAAGTCACAAGAAGGAAGAGTAAATAAACTGTGATATATTTTTCAAATAAAGTTTGTGGAGATCAAAACGTGAGATGTAGTTTTTGAAATTACTGTGGATCTTCATCAAGTAACGGCCGAATCAATCAGAAAAATAATGAAACATTATATGGGCTGCTCTAAATAAAAGGTCAATGTTCAAATTTCGAGGGCTTCATACATTCCATTAGCGACTTTTTTTTCAAGTTGGTACACTCGTCTTGAACATATGTACTTGGCTAGTATATAAACTAGTTGAATAGTATACAAACTATCCAACTGCCTGGTTATTTTGATGAAAAATCATATTTTCACTAAAATAGCTACGAGTAATGGCTGGTTTGTATACTATTCAGCAGGATGAAGTGTGAACCTTATATTGGTAGTAATACATAATAACCAACGAGTTGGTTATTAACCAGCGAGTTGGTTGTTATGTATCACTCAACAAACTAATCAATTCTCTTGGGTTACTTTAGTTTAGGATAGTAGAATCCTTTGTCAAAAATGGTTTCTTTATTGGTACAATGTAAGATTGTTACAGGTACCTATTATTACTTTAGAAAAAGTAAAAGAAATATAACTCAAATAATACCAGGTGACAAAATATTAACAATAAAATATGTCAGGACATTAAAACCACCAAACAAACAACGGTATCATTTGTTGGAGCAAGTTGCACTTACTATTACACGTATTTCCAGGCGCAAGACATTTACACTTTTTATTCGCACAACTCTTCTTGCAGTGGCATAACACATATCCTTGGGTTGAACCCGATACTGAAAATTCTCCTGCAGCGCTTCGTAATGTTATTTCGGTGTCCGTGACACCGTGACACACATTTTCCAACTTTAAAATTTGTTGCTTACATATTTCAAATTTGTTGCGGGAATAGAGTTGTTTAAGGACACCGTGAACAATTTCAATTCGGTAAAATTCATCTTCTACACTCATTATGACGCCCAATATATTTCTATGATCTGACCGACTACGATCTACATCTGGAATGGGTACTCTCACGGACATGCCGACAGTTCCTGTAGAATGAAGGTGAGTTACTATTATATTTCGGTCAGTTTTAAGTATGGGAAATATAATAGTAACTCACCTTTAATTTGTCTATAGTATCTAAACATATAAAAAAATATAGAGTGTTCCATAAGAAAAAATATAACTTTGGTATGTAACTTTTTTGGGAGTCTGTGTATTTGAAAATAATTTTGGAATATGCTCCTTATGGACCTACATATACCTGTGCTGGAAGTTTTCCATAACTCTCTTCATTTCTCATAGAAATACCGTGGCGAATGTAGTGAGCCACCCTGTATATATATACAGGGCTATATAAATCCGTTTCTGTACATGGGGGGGTTATAAAAATATAAAAAATATAGGGTGTTCCATAAGAAGAAATATAACTTTGGTATGTAACTTTTTTGGGAGTCACCCTGTATATTTCGAAATAATTTTGGAATATGCTTCTCATGGGCCCACATATAACTGTGCTGAAAGTTTTTCCCTAACTCTTGTGGTGGGCTATATACATATATTGAGCTTGGAGAATGGTTGGTTTTGACACAATTCGATTAGTTGGATCTATTTATTGTAAGAAGATATTTTTGTTTATCTTTCGTTTGAAGCTTCCTAATGGCAGACCATTTTGACGGTTTTGTTTCCTTTCCATTGGTTCACCCTGTCTCAATGATGAATATAACAACTTTGACTCTAACAACTGTAGGATATAATTTGACTTCGAATACTAAATCGAGTGTATTGTTAGGTATCCCAATAATTTGTGTCGAATGGTTAAGATTACTAACAAGACTTCATCAGAGACATTGTTAAGTCGACTTTTAAAAAAATCAGTCAATTAAACTGTACGCTTGTTTAAATTCCAAGAAAACGATCAATGGGCCATAAAATTATATTGAATACAGTGGCTTTGTAGTAAAACTCCTTGGTATTCACTTGTTAAGGAAACATCTACATGGAATGGTACCAATAAATAAGATGCTGCGGGGTATTTACAATACAAAATTTGATTAATTATCTTTTTCTATCGATGAGTTATCGATTGAATGCAATTTATGGTCGTAAAACATTCTTTTCTCCTATATGGGCGTGACATGAGTCGGTTGCTGAGTTTCCACTGGATCAAAATATTGACTTTTTTCTTGACATTGAAACGCCATGTTTTCATATGTTTTGATGATAAATTCCCTGTTTTCGAAAAAGAATGAATATTTTTGCTAATAAAAGCAGCTTTCCATTCATTCAGAATTCACAATGTTTTTTTTATATTATTGTTGTACAAAATTTGAATAAATATCGAAAGACAGTCACTTTGCTATCAGTGATATCAAAAATCATGGAGAATGCTGTAAACCACCATATCCTCAAATATTTGGAAGGCTTCAACATTTCGAGTGATCATCAGTGTGGCTTTCTGTTCTGTTTTCTGTTTAAAATCTGTGTTTCCGTCAATCAGCTGTCGCCCCCATACGAACAACTCTCAGAAGTTGAGAAACTCGTGCGAGCTAAGGACGAGGTCTTACCTTTTAACGTGTGATTCCTAACACGGAAACAAAGATCAACAGGCGACCTTTTATCGTATGTCAACCATATTTGGTCAATGCAATCGAGAAACATGAAGAATCAAGAGCTGTTGTGCTTGATATATCTAAGGCGAGGCATGAGGCATGCGAGGCATGAGGCATGCGAGGCATGCGGGGTTTGCTGGCAAAACAACGATGCTATGGCTTGTCGGATCATTTTTGTGTATGGCTTTTCAGCATCCTTAAATAACGTTTCCTGCAAGTGGCTGTCGATGGATATCTTTCGAATACTTTCACCATCAACACTGGTGTTCCCCAAGGATCTATATTATTTCCAACCCTTTTTTCATTGTATATCAACGATTTATTGGAAAAACCAAGAATCCAATATATCGCTTTGCTGACGACAGCACACTTATCTCGTCATTACATTTAGATCCCTGGACATCGGCTGTGGAAGCACATCTTCACGTGCAGCATGAGGCTGAATATCTTAATGAGGATCTTGAAGTAATTCGAATTGGGGTGGAAATAACCAGGTTCAATTCAATGCCACAAAAATCCAGATCAGACCTTCTTTGGAGTATTGTTCTCATGTATACAGCTCTGCCCCCAAACACACACTGAAGTTTCTTGATTCCAATCAGAAAAGAGCCATCCGCCTGATTGGAGACGCAGTCATCACGTGCAACCCTCATAGCCTGGAACATCGAAGAAAGATTGGAGATTTGTCTCTTTTCTATAGATACTTTCACGGGAAGTGTTCAAGTGACTTGGCACATTTGATTCTACCAAGAGCGGACACATTAGAAATATACGACGGACTGTGGCTGCTCATCGTTTTGAGGTTCAACTCATTACACCTCGAACTTCACTGTTTAAGAACTCTTTCATCTGTACAACTGCGTTTATGTGGAATAAACTTCCTGAGAACATTTTTTCAAATGGATTTGATCTTCAGCGATTCAAATCCAATGTAAATTACTACTTTCGCACAGGCACCGCTCTGGGAGCTCCTTTGGGATTTTTTGTAGTGCTTGCCCCGTTTAGATGGAAAAACAAATTTCACAACCCTTCTGTTGCATAATTGAATTTCAATAAATTGTTTCGAAGCAAATTAAAAAATAATTCTCATTATATTTCATTACTTTACATTACTTCAATAATTTACAATAATCGATTAGTGTACTATTTTCAAAATAAAAATTGCCTGTGATCAATTTGGTCATTTCAGGACAGACTTTTTTTCTTAATTTTAAAATTTAATCAATAGAAATTCTGTCACACTTTTCAAATTCATTATTGAAGTACTGTGTTCACTATGTGTGACATATTCATCAATTCCAGTTGTATGTTTCACGGTCAGATCATAGCAGTTCCACATTTTATGTTTCTGTCATAATAGTTTGGTCAGTAGCCGGTCGGTTCGACGTGGGTGCTTTGTTCACTCACTCAAATCGACCGCCGTGTTGGTCGGTGGTTCAAGCCCCCGGCTGAACGATCGATTTTCACTTGCTACAGTCCAACCCATGTTAGGAATCACACGATGAAAGCTAAGATCTCGTTAGTTCTTAGCTCGCACAAGTATCGACTTCTGAGGGTTGCCGTTCGTAGGGGTGCAACTGCGACTTAATGGAAAAACATGTTCTGAACAGATTTTTTTTTAACATTTGACAGATTATCTGAACTTCTTCTCCATGGAAGTAAACAAAACAGTTTCAAAATTCTGTGATATTTTTTCTAGTTTTATATGATTCATCCAATATTTTTAATAATTCACAAGTCTTCCATGTGTTTGAAGAAAAACACAATTCATTTGCCGGTTTCACATTCATATCCTCATCTCTCGTATGTACCAATTTGACTTGTATTTGCTAAGACTCATACATCTTATTGTACTATAGACTTCCTGAAGAGGAGAAAACTATTTTTGGATAACGAATGTTGAGTTATATCGTCCAAAAATCTACGATCCCCATTCAGTAATTCAAAGCTATCATCTCAACAATTACAAACATTTCAAATGATGATTGTTATCATGACTGTTATCAGAGAAATCAAACGAAATATTCGACCATTTTTTAATTCCATATATTCTAAAGACATTGTCTTTAGAATATATTACAATATAATTCACTGAACAAACATCAACAATGAAATCAAAAATTACATTCAGAACTAGTAGAAATTGGAATAAACTTATCCTGTTTACACCGGACCTCTAAATCCATATTACATTTCTCCACCTTTGTTTTGCGTTTTAGATCATTCATGTTAATCACGGGAATTGGTTTCGTAGAGGTTCTCATTGCACGATGACTCATGCCATTTTTGTGATCTCCAGAATCATTTAACACTCCTGTCATATCGTTGAAGGGTTTCAATTCTTGTTCCACTATTATCGCTTCACCCACCAACATCATTGGATTGATTTCAGGTGCCATTTCTCCAGTAACCGCTTCCAAAGCTTTCTGTAAATCAAATTCTGACTTATTCATTTCATTATTTTTTGACGAAGCAGAATCTTTGACTTCGCTTCTTGGTGGACTGCCACTACTTTTATCACCAACTAAAGGATTGGATTTTTCCCTCCGTGCACTATCCGCACTAGTATTCAATTTTTTCTCTATCATTTTTCTTTGGATATTATTTGATACTTCTGGTCGTTTGATTTTTCTCGTTGTTGAATCAAAATTACTTCTTTCCGTAACTGTCCATACGTCTTTCTCCAGTTCCGATTCTGTCAATTTCTGTCCTTTCGCGTGTATGATACTTTCGAAATCGAAAGCACCTTTCAGGATTCTTGGGTCAATTCCTCCTGTTTCATGTTTCTGAATGGGCTCTGTGGTACCAGATTTTTTGATTATTTTCTTTGTCGTATTATGTTGATTAGAATTTCTAGCTCCTGGAACCGATACCACATCTTTTGTTTTCTCCATTGTTACGTGTTTCAGATCACTTCTGCTCATCACGGGAATAGATTTCGTAGAATTTTTCATTGCACGGTGACTCATATCTTTTTGGTGATTTTCAGAACCAGTTATCTTCAGTGTCATATCATCAAATGGTTTCAAAACTTGTTCCACCATTATAGGTTCTCCCACGAATATCATTGGATTGATTTTAGCTGCTTTTTTTCCAGTAACAACTTCCAATGCTTTCTGTAGATTCAGATCAGTCGACGGAGCAAAATAATCTACTCTCCTTAGATTGCTATCACTTTTTGGATTCAGTTCCATTGCACCAATATTTTCTAAAGTTCTTTTCGAATTCATTTCTATTCTTTTTCTTTGAATATTATATTTTGCTTCTGGTTGTTTGACTTTCCTCCTTGTTGAATTATGACCACTTTTCACTTTATCTTTCTCTAGTTCTGTTTCTGTCAATGTGTTTCCTTTCATGGGTATAGCTTTCAAAATTTTTTGATCAGTTTCTTCAGCCTCAGTTTTCTGAATAGGTTTTGTTGCACCAGTTCCTTTGATTACTTCATTTGTCGTGTTATGTGCACTTGTGTCTCTGGCTACTGGAAAATTTGTGTTCAATAAATTAATTGCCAATTTGTGTTCTGAACCAGCAAGTACTGAATCAACTTTTTTCGTCTTATTTTCTTGATAATTTTTTGAAGAAGCTAGTTTTCTCGTAGGAGTAGGTGGACCTCTATTTCCCACTCTTGATAGTTTTTTTGGTTGATCCATCCTTCTTTCAGTTCCTTGGTTTCTTGATACAATATTCATCACAGACGTTTCATTATTGGTTTCTGTCTTACCTTGTTGGTGATTATTTGAGACACCAGATCTTTTGCTACTGCTACTTTTTGAATTGTGTTCATTTTTTCGTTCTATAACAGAATTCATGTTTTTTGGTCCAGTTGATGTCAAACTGAGAGAGTTCGCTATGTATTTATGAGCCCCACTGTTTCTTTTCCTGTTTATTACGACATGCTCTCCCAATTGAACTGATGTTTTTCCGTTCTTCTTTTGGGATGGATCTTCTATGTTGGAGTTTCTCATATGGGAAATGTTTTCTGAAAATTCCAGCTGAATTTCTATTCGATTCGATTGAGGAAAACATTTGTTAATAAAATCAGTGAGTACTATTATTGTAGATTGTTTTAGTTTTGGATTGCCGACTATTAAAAAATGTTGGCGTTATACTACGAAAGCAGTGATGAAAAATTGTTGTTTGGATATGAGAAATTCACTATGAACTTGAATTTATCAGTAAAACAAAGTAGAGACAGGCGTAAATGAAGGAATTGAAGAAATAATATGAAATTGAACTGGAGAGATTCGATAAGAATGAATTAAAAGCAAACATATTCATCGGGATGACTACTTCAGTAGACATTCTTGGTTTTTGAAAGTTATGAAACCCAAACTAATCATGGAATTCTAACGGAGTAAATTACTCTAGTAGAGAGAAATGAACTGAAAACAAAAAAGTTCTGGATAGAAGCAAGGATCAGAAAAACAAATAGCATAAGAAATCAGAAGATTTCATAATATGAAAATCAATAAACAAAATAATCAGTTTCGAAAATCAGAATTATAAAACACTGAAAAAGCGCAACTACGGAAATTGACGTTCTTTTCTCTTCAATTTCTAAATATACTATCAACTGATTTCGATGATACGTGGCATCCAATGGGAGTAAACCTCCAAGAATAAGAAAAAACAATGACAAACTCATCGTGACATTTTCGTCTTTCTCTCAACTTTATTCTATCGAAATAAATAAACATAATGATGACATTAAAAATGTTAGCTTCTATCATAAGTCAAATAGGGTGTAACTTAAATAAAGATATATTTTTATGGCTGAACCTACCTGCCACATTTTCTTTTTCTTTCAGTACGGCATTTATGATTCCGTCAGCGGATTCTACTTTTCGACCAATTACTTTTACTGCATCTTTGGGTTCGTCGAATGTTTCTGAAAAAATTGAATTTTTCAAAATAGAAGGCGAAACTTTTCAAATCATTAACAGTATAAAGGACAGTTGAATAGTCCAGTGATCCAAATGACTCATATCAAGAAAGGTTCTTTGGGTGAATTATCTCAGACAAATTTTTTTCTTGCCAACGTTTCAGATATATCCACATTCTTCTTCAGACATGTTGTTTCACAAATATGATGATTTTTAAGTTTAGTCATACTTTTAACATGAAAAAGTTCCTTTTTGGTGTGTGCTTTCTAAATAAACTTTTGAACACGATCCATATGTCAGTTTTTAGACCCCTGATTCGTTATAATTGTCCAGTTTTGACTCGTTTTTCGTTTTATCAGAATTGATCATTTACCTAATGAGCTTTGTAATTACCTGTACCTGTAATTACATTGTAGAATATTTTGTATGACCAATTTCATTGATGAAGTTACCATGTAGTGAAACACATCTTGAATAAAGTTTCTAGTGTCAAAATTGTATAATAATCAATATGATAGACAAAAATATTGGTTTTTCATTTCGCGAAGTTTGAAAATATCGTAGTCATTGAAGCCGATGAATTGTTGGTGGGTTAGAACTTACCGAAGCAAACAGCATTGCTGATGCAGATAACAAGAAGTACCTACAAAATAATTTAAAAAATGATCTTTGCTTATTTCAACATGACGGTTTCTCACAGTTTTCATATCCTTGAAGCGGAATACTCTTCGACGGGAGAAAATTTCAACAATAACCCGTGGTGGAAATAAAATTCTGGCACATTTATGAAGTACATGAAATATCGAGTGACGCGATTTTTTGCACGTTCTTAGATAAAAACTTCCACGAATCTACAAATGTTATCAACAACTGCAAGCAATTCTGTGAATGATCGTAAATGAACGGAAAAAGAGTACCTATATAGTGAGTGTGAAAATTAGCAATTAAGATAACTTGGACAATTACTTCACTGGTATGAAAGATGATTGACAAATATACTATTTTTGTAGTTGTTGAAACGTTGCAATCTCCAATCAGCTCACTATTTATCCATCTAGAGATAGTTATGATCCATAAAAGTACAAGTACAAAAGTACTTCCACAATTCTCCCTACCACCAGCCAGTAGTGTATCGATCCCGTGGGCTGATCTACCGAGAGTGTCCCCAGGTGGCGGATATAGGGAAACGGCTAAGAGACTGGGGGCCCTGTCCAAAAAGCCAATGTGGCCTTACGGACGAGGTCGCCTGACTCCTGGTCAGTGGCAGAAATAAGTAGGGTGACAGGAACTGAAACTCCCCTAAAGCCTTACGAAACATGCCACCGTGGACCAGCCTACCCTAGCTAAGGTGTGAGGAATCACGCCGACAGCTAAATGGCCGCAAGGTGATATGCATTTACGAACGATCCCCTTGGGGAACCAGGCGAAACCTAATTGTAATCAGCCTTCCTCTGGTAACGAGAGGCTCTGCTAGAGGCTGGACAGAAGTGCTCAGCTTGATCTGAGGCGGTAGCTGGGGATGAATAGAAATGTCCACCCCAATCTATCACTCGGAATGAGGCTGGATATAGCAGATCACCTCGTGATGTAATAGAAAGGCCAATGCGTGAGCGCATTTGTGGCGCCGACGCCAAAAGGAGAAAGAGACAAAAGAGGCAGGAGTTGCAGCAACTATAAGTGCACCCTCCTCCTACACCTCCAACAGCAAGGACAGTTCCTGCGGCTGGCGCCAAAAGCTCCGCCTTGAATAAAGGCAAGGAACCGGCTGCCTCTGCAGGAAAGCGCTCTTATCTCCACAGAGGGAACCCCAAGAAGGTTAAAGAAGTCGTGTAACGACAGTAATGTCGCTGCACCTTCCAAAACGTTCCAAAAAGTAATCAGTAATATGTTCGTTTCGAACAAAAGGTTAAAAATAATAATTTCAGGATAAAATGCTTTCATAACTCACTCCAGTTCATTCCAATATATGTTCACAATGTTCACCATTTACTTTTTTTACAATAATAAGGTCTGTTTACAAATTCACTTTTCATATTACGGGTATAGTTGCAAACATATCTGAACATATTCTGAAAGAAACTGTGATTGTATATTACACATTTCTGATGGCATGTATCCCCTCAAAAATATCTTCAGGCACATATATAACCCCAGTTAATTTTAAAACTCGTGAATAGAAGAAGAGGTGTTTGCACCAAAATTAAGGAACATTTCATAATTTGAGAAATAAATTAGTAAACAGACTTCATTATTGTAAGAAAGTGAATGGTGAAAATTTGGACATGCATTGTAATAAACTGGAGTGAGTTATGAAAGCATTTTCTTTCGAAATTATAATATTTATCGTTTGTTTGCATATTATTTAAAGAAATATACAGGTCCTAATCACTTTGTAGCTACTAAACCGATTTCCGAAAGTGAAACATTGTTGGATTGAGAACTAAGTTACCTATTGAATGAGGAATCACAGAACTCCTCTCTTCATTCGAAAAATACAAGTTTTTTGGCTCTTTGGGCGATGAGTGAAGCAACACTAATATCTTTCCTATCAAAAAGTTTTACCTGAATTTTGTCCGATTGTTCCATTGAAATGTTAAGATGAGGGAGGGGAATCTATTTACTACCGCACTGTATAGTAAAGAGAGGCATTTTATATCATCGAGACCATAGTGGGTATAAAGAACTGTGAGTTATGCAGACAATTTATTCCAATCCAAAACAAATATACTTTTGGGAAAGAAAGTTTTTGACCTTCTACTGCTCCATCTTGGTACTGTCATCGATGACATGGGTGGATTCGATCCATTTCGTGACAAAAAGTCGAAATTATGGACGACTTGAGTGTGTTTTTTCTTATAATGTTATTAGAATTTGCTACGGAAGAGCCGATAAGTCAAGTGTCTTACAGCGAAACATCGGATGTCTAGCAATGAGGATGACCGTGTTCCATGTCAGTGAAATTTTGTGTAGGAACCCTGTGAATGATATCTGATTTGATTCCATTCGAACGGTGGGAATACAAACGGAATAGATCTAAACATCTTTGTATAGTGTTATTTGTGAAGTGAAAGTTATTTCTTTGCATGATCTACACATTTTTGTCTAGAGTTAATTTTTTGAATTGTTTGCTGGCTTCCTTTCCCTGAAAGATTCTTACATTTTTGTGTCAAGACGGAGAAGTAGAATGCCAACAACTTTCTTTCGCAAAAATTAATCTCCTCTAAAAATATACGCTTTCAATTCAAATATACAATGTCACTGAAGAGTTTGGCAAGGAAAAAAGTATAGGAGTAGGTTTCTCAATGTTGTCACTGAATAAATCCATTTTACACGAACTCTAAGTAGATGACACTTTTAACAAAATGCTTTTTCAAAATTTGGATAATATCTTACCCAGCTAGAGCTTGATAATGAAATTTTATTATTTTATTGACTCATGGCCAATAGGTACGTATTCCACGTACCTTAACGATCTATTGAAAGAGACCACAAATCCAATATTTTCCTTCGATGATGACAGCACATTTGTCCTTTCAAATAAGGTTTGAACTCAAGTCAGTTCTATACTTTTGATATGAACCCTTTTGAAAAAAATCAAACCAGTGAAAATCTATAGTGTTCTTTATAAAAAGAATCATCATTGGTATGTTCATGGTTATTTTCATAACATCACTCCCTACAACTTTTCTTGTCTTCACTGGAGAAGCACACATCGTTGATACATCCTGTATTTCATCTGTTCCTGCAGAACACCTCAATACGACTGAAATATTGCCTAATGTTACTAAATTACAATATATGAGAATCATGTGGTACATTTCACAATATCATTAAAGGATAATTAACTAAAGTAAATGGTAGTAGGTATTCTCTGCACACATACGTGAGGCGCCATGGTGCAGCTTCCTCCTGACTGATGCATGGCCGTCCTAACAGACAATAACGTTCTAAATCAGCACAAAACCTGCCTAGCTGTCTGTCCGTCTAATTACTATACAACGCAGTTTTTCTGGTATCTCTACAGAATATTTATTCAACATGTAAATTGTATTAAAAACATCAGGAAACTATTTGACAGACATATTATGGAAGTAGCAATGACAAAAATAATCACAAAGAAACTGAAAATGCTTACATGTTCAAAAGAGTAGTTCTATAATAGATGTTTTCTTGGATATTGGGAACATATTTTATTTCACGTTCAAAGGTTAAATCATTTAGGAGTCGAGAAGAAGAGGGATCGACGACATAAGCTGCATGTGTGTAGACTACATGTTCAGAGAAAGAATAATATACACACCCATTATGGAAGATACAGTAATGGTTTGGATGGAAAGGAGTTGTCTACAAGGGGGGTGTTTGTTTCCTCTCAACTGAATCTCGTAATGGACAAGCTATAAGGTCTTCAGCACCATTATGAATATGAAGTCCAGTCCACTCTGAAGAAAATAATATAGTGGGGAGATGCATGCATCAAGCCCTTAATATCAAATCAATGAAGGGCTAAGCATACGCCCAAAGACTATGGTAGCGCTAACCAAGATTTTCGAGACAGGGAGCCTACAACTTCTGAATCTTCGAGGTTAAGAGATACATCCGTCGGGAATGTCAAATATCTGGCAGTGATAGTAATCTCCAGATTGACCTGGAACCAACACCTAAAAAGAGTTAAAAATGATGGACTGACACTAACCAGATGCACCTACGGAAAGATATAGAGTCTCAAAACAGATCATCATGGAGATTGGATCCATCATTACATTTCGAACAAAAGGTTAAAAATAATAATTTCAGGATAAAATGCTTTCATAACTTCTTCTTTTGGGAAGGATCTTCTATGTTGGAGTTTCTCATATGGGATATGTTTTCTGAAAATTCCAGCTGAATTTCTATTCGATTCGATTGAGGAAAACATTTGTTAATAAAATCAGTGAGTACTATTATTGTAGATTGTTTTACTTTTGGATTGCCGACTATTAAAAAATGTTGGCGTTATACTACGAAAGCAGTGGTGAAAAATTGTTGTTTGGATATGAGAAATTCACTATGAACTTGAATTTATCAGTAAAACAAAGTACAGACAGGCGTAAATGAAGGAATTGAAGAAATAATATGAAATTGAACTGGAGAGATTCGATAAGAATGAATTAAAAGCAAACATATTCATCGGGATTAGTTAAAAATGATGGACTGACACTAACCAGATGCACCTACGGAAAGATATAGAGTCTCAAAACAGATCATCATGGAGATTGGATCCATCATTACATATGCATCTATGGTCTGGTGGCCAAAGATGAAACAAACGACCAATATTTACAAACAAGGATGTAAACAGTTGCTCGTTTGAGATAGCCGGGTGCAATAAAAATTACTCCAAGAGCAGCATTGAAGACGCTTTTGAATGTTTCTCCTTCATATCTAGTAATAATGGTGGAGACAAGAGTGGACCAATGTAGATTAGAGAATCTGCCTAGTTACAATGAATTGGACACCTGGTGAAGAGACATGTATATATACTGTGCGGAGAGATATCTACATCACAGTTAACCGCTCGGATAGAGCAGTCTTGCAGATTGAAAATGAAAAATAGAATAACTGGCGAACAGGACTCGATTTACTTCAGGAAGGCACCAGGATATTCATATCATAGGCAAGAGAAAAACTGATTGATGTGCTAAAAACAGATCATTAACTCCCTATATAATCCTGAGGGTACCAAAATTTTTGGTGCAGAACCAAATTGGAAAGTGGCTCTCTGAGAAACATTAGGAATGCTGAGGAAACATATCAAAGAACACACATGGAAAAAT